CCAGCCATAAAGGTATTGGCTGTTCTGGATAAAATTAATTTCAGTTGTCCCTTTCACTTTTATGCAAGCTACATCCTGCTTTGTCACATTTGGCTTCTTGTAAAGCACTATTGGCACACTGTTCCACCTGAAAATGCCACTTGCAGTTCCAGGTTTTTTCCCAAAGGAGTGACACAAACCATCTCAGGTGAAATATGGACTCCTGCAGGTTTAGACAGAAGCTAGTGGTTCTGGTAACATTTCTGATTTTTAAATGATGGAGCTGGACATGAATGAAGACCTCACATGTTCTCATTCAGTGCCACCAGCACATGGTGCTGATGCTCTCAAGGCTGTACCTAAAGTTTCTCGCCCGGCCTCTAGAACATCTAGAATACTGACACCCCTCCCCTCCTCTCCTGCATTTTTCTCTTCTCCTCCTCCTACTCCAAAAAAACCCAAACCCCAAAAAACAACACCCAAACCCAACTTACCATTACATCCATAAAGAAAAGTAGTAGCAGGTGTCAGTTCATGAACACTCTGCCTAAAACATGAGAATTAGGGTGAATGCCACATTATTGCTCAGTAGCATTTCATTCTTGAGTTTTGTAGGCTTCAAGATTCATGTAGTTCTCTGCAAGAAGGCTCAGATGTATAAGGATTCCAGTGACCTTACTCTAGACAACAGTGTTTGCTGCTATTGTTTCTCCTTACTGGAAGCAATAAATTCCCCAAGAGCAAAAACATTGATCTGAGCTGAATTTGTGCTCTATTCCAGTTCTTCTCCTAATGGCTGATACTAGGGCTATAGGCACTATGATTTTACACAGCTGAGGTACCTTCTAGGTGGATGCCAAATCTTGCCTTTACACAAAGCTTCAGTGCTGGCGTCAGAAAAGAACAACATAGCCATTGTTTCAGCAACCGTATGCATTCAAAGTGAAATCCTCCTTTAATGGTCTGTGAGCTGGAACATGAACAAACACAGGGTACTCTGCATGCCCTAGTCATCCACCTGCTCGGTCACGACAACTGCTTGCAGAATCTCATTTAGAGATTCTCTAAAAAAAAAAAAATATGGATATTGTCATTAGATGGATGTTGTAATTTACAGTTTCTTTTGCTTATCCAAGAGGTGCTCTAATAGAATACAAATATTCTCATGCTTTGCTTGTATCTACTCTTCTGTAAAGAAAATCTCTTCCCTGCTCACTGGCAAACTGGCTTACCACTTCCTTGTCCACATTTGGATGGCAAACTAGTGATTCAGCTATTCAGTTGGCTCAGATACTTGTGTAGTGAGTTTCATAGTTCGAACTCTGTTGACTGAGGAAAAATGCTGAAGTTTGCAAAGTTAAATATTCTGTTCAGCTTGTGAAAATTTAATTTGGCTCCCACCATTTTTCAAAATACAGTGATGTATTATGTTTTTCCACAGAATTTTATCATACATTATTTGTAGAAAATGAACTTGATCTGAAGCTAAATTATAATGGTACAATGAAGGAGGCTAGTACTTACAAGACATCTATGCCATCTGCAGCAGAAGCTCTTGAGAACAAGGAAGGCAATTATAAGAAAAGCAAGAACAGTTTCACATTGGTCTTCTTTGGAAAATTGTCTCCCTTCACAGGAACGCTCAGAAAACAAATTAATTAAGGTGTATGTATCCCTCAAGTATAACATTGATTGGTAAGGAAGAAAAGTCCATGTAAAAAAAAAATTGGCATCCGAGTAGGGTTTGGACAGTATGTAGTAAAGAATAAAACTAAATAAGACCCACATGGGTCTCTCCCTGCACATGGGAGTGAGATTACAATTCCACTTCTTCCACAGTTCCAGAATTTCTTAATGTCTGAGTACAATTTTGCAAATTTAAGAGTCTTTTTTCGACAATCTTTGTGTCTGATACATGTATCTGATTTATTGTTTCATCTTACTAAGATTTAAAGAGTAATGTGCTTTGAATCATTGTAGTTCAAATTTCCATTTTTCTATGAAACAGGATGAGCTGAAGCATAGCACTGAGAGTGTTAGCTGTTATGGAACGTTTAACACAAAAATGGAAAATAATAAGAAATGATAATTTAGGGGGATGTTGCAATCACTAGGTGCATTCGGTACACAAATTTACAGGCAAGGTTTAAGAGTAAAATAACTGTTAGAATAAATGACTATGTAAATAAGCATTTAAACAAATGAAATATTCTGAAGTACTTTCAAATGAAGGACTGGTGTGAAGGCTAGTGAAGCCATTGTTTCAGAGACCTGGTGGAAATTTCTTTATGAACTGCTGAATAACATTTCAGTTGGATCTCTGAGAGGGGTTTACATGACACTTTTGGTCTGGATCAATTAACCTTGTGCTTTATAAACTAACAAGAATAGGATTCTCAGTTAATTTCAATATTTCATCACACCTATAGATTAATATTTATATAATTTTAATGTGGCAATTTTAATTATTAAAAAATTAGAAAAACCAGATGGAATTACAAACTGGCAACAGATTACTTAACTTTTGCCTACTGGGATAAATAGAACATACCACAGAATATATCAAAGCAGACACCAGTGAGACACCAATACATCATTAGTATGCAGGAGGCTTTCCTTCAGATATCAGTTCTTATCAGACATAACCATGTGCCTATCAATCTTATTAAATAAACCCAGCAACTCATCATGTTATAATCCATAGCATATAACATCATGGCAAAAATCAAAAGATGTATACTATGATGCTCCCCATAGACCAGTGAAATCTGCCACCAAATTATGAGGTGGAAAAAGAGTGAAAAAAATAATTACTATTATTTTACGAAGGAGTATGAAATTTAAGTTAGTTTGCAAATACTAATAAACATCCTTCAGCTGTTCACGAGGGCCTTAAAACAAAAGTAATCAAAATATCAGATTTAAAAATTGTTGTTGTGTTTGTATAATCATGTTACAGACATTCTGTCAGCTCCATTACATGACATGTATTACATACATGGGTAAAAACATGAAAAACGTGAGTGAATCAGCCAAAGTGCAGACCTGTAAACCGCAACAATGCAAATATTCTTCACTTACATGAAATATCCCTTGAACTTATTGTAGTAATGTGTAGATTTTTGTAAATTCTATAGCATAATTTGCCAAGATGTGCTCTGAAAGAAAAATTATTTCATTCCAAACAGGAGCTTCAAATGGAAGCTCTACAATTGCTTCATTTGGTCAACAAACCCTATCTGATAACTTCCAACATTCCTAGAAAAAAATAGTAAGTATTGCACACCGAATACGTATCTAAATGATGTGCACTGATACCTTTTTATTTAACAAAAATGAGTGTCACCAGATATATATGTGCATACATTTGGTTATTGCTATCAGAATTAACAGCCTGCAATTTAATCCCAGCCTATTAGAAACAGGGTTCAGCACACCCACAGAAATTGAAATGAATCCTTGCCACAGGCTTTTCACCAGGCTTCAAGATATGTGTTTGTTAGTACCTTCAGATTAATACCAGTTAGGTTTTGAACAGCTTCAGTCTCACGCGAGATGATTTAAAACAGATGAAAATAAAAGTGGGTTACAGAAAATAAAAGAATACAGATAATACAGTATTGTATTATTTACTGAACAAAATAACAGGTAGAAATCACGTTTGCCTTTTTTAAAAACAGCATTAAGTAATCAAATTTAGACCATAAAAGCATCAACATGAAATGTAAATAACTGTACTGTTAAGGTGGTATCTACAACTTTTTTCAACTGCTTGAGATCCGAAACTGCCAATGTTGTACATCTCACTTTAAAATTATTCAAGTGCCTTGTACAGTATGTAAAAAATTTAATAGTCAATGACCATAATGAAATGTACATACAATACCTGAATTTAATACTTTAATAGCTCAGGCCCATATAATCAAAGTATTTAGGTTCCCACTCCTCACGGAAGATCTGGGTCTCAGTGTATATTAACCCCTTCCATGAAAGGAGCAACTGTTTTTGATGGTGTGAATTTGTAATCTTTTCTTTCC